ATAGGCCAATTGTGCAATTTGGGTGGCTTGGAAATATGTATGGAGATTAGGGAGGCCAATCCCACCATGAGATTTCAAGGTGTATAGCATTTTGTGGTTCATTCGGGGCCTTCTATGGTTCCAAACAAAACAAAGCACCTCTGCCTGTAAATGTGTTAGTTCATGTCTCGGAATTGGAATTGGCAGGTCCTAAAAATATATAATAACCGGGGCAAAAATGTCATTTTAATAGAGTTGATCCTGCCAAACCAAGAAATGGAGTAAGTAGCTCAACAAAGAAGGTCCTTTTTAAGGTGTTTGAATAGAGGAGAATAATTAGCTTGGTAAAGAGTATCAATGGAAGCCATCAAATTAATCCCTAAATAGGGTAAGGAATTGGTGGTCTATTTAAAATCATACATATTCCAAAGCTGGCGTTCCATGGAAGAGGGCAATGAAACATTAAGGGCTGTTGCCTTTTGAGAATTTAAAGAGAGCCCAAAGAGGTCAGAAAAACAGTGTAGAAGAGACAGTAAATTAGGTATGGTAGTCAGAGGGGAGGAAATATACATTAAGACATCATCAACAAAAAGGGGAATTATGTTCCTGAGGACCACAGTATACCCCATGAATACCAGAGTGAGAGTGGGTTGCCATAGCTAAAGGTTCAATGGCCAATGCAAAGGGTAAGGGGGTGAGTGGGCAACCTTGTCTAGTACCGAGACAAATTGGAAATATAGGGGATCTGTAACCTCTAATGGACACTTGAACCGAGGGTGTGTAGTACAAGGACTGTAATAGAGTAAGAAATGTAGGACCAAATCCAAAAGCCTTCAAGATAGTGAACAAATAGTCCCAAGCTAAGCTATCAAAAGCCTTATGAAGGTCCAAAGAAAGGAGCAAAAATTCCTGAGAGAGAGGGGCATCTCAATTAGAGCGGACAGCAGAAATTAAAGCTATGGACCTACAAATTTGATCTAACGTTTGACGACCAGGTATAAAACCTGACTGATCTTTATGAATATATTGTGCTAAAAAAGAATTAAGGCGCAAGGCCAGAAGTTTTGTCAGAATTTTCAGGTTGTAGTTAATAAGCGAAATAGGTCGATAGTTAAGAATATCTGTAGTGTCCTTATTAGGTTTAGGGATAACACTAATATAAGCTTTGTTTTCCTCCAAAAGGAATCACACCCTTCTCACAAGGAATTGAAATAAAGAGCCATGTGGGGGAGAAGCTGTTCAGAGAAAGTTTTTACAGTAAATATTCGGTAAGCCGTCGGGGGCCAGGGTATTTATGTGACTTCAGCATTTTAAGAACCCCACCTAATTCTTCAATACTTATGGGCTGTTCCATGAGTTCTCTGTGAGCTTAGGCAATACTGGGAAGCCGCAAAGGTCCCAAAAAATCTCGAACCAAAGAGGACTCAATGGGCCGGGGTTGGCTATGTAAAGTGGTTTAAAAAGTATTAAAATCTAGAAGGATTTTCTGAGGATCCTGTGAAACCTGACCTCCCGAAAGCTGGAGTTTAGGAAGAGCCGAATAGGTGTATTTAGGAAAAAGCTTACATGCCAAGAGAGAACCAAGTTTGTCCCGCCACGTGAAAAATGTATGATTCAGCCATCGTAGCTGTTTTTCTGCTTTCGTGGGGAGGCAAAGGTTAAGTTCTAGTCCAGTGTGTTGCACCTTGAGGAACAGATACGGGGACCGGCTATTCTATTGTTGGTCTAGCAAAGCTTTTTAGTCCCTAGTTTTGACGGAAATCAATGCTTCACGAGATCGCTTAAGTCTAGAGGATAGTTGGATAAAAAAACCTTGAATAGAGGCTTTATGAGCTGCCCAGTTAATAGCAGGAGTCGTGTCTTTCGCTTTATTAATAGTAAAATAAGATTTCAGATGTTCTATGACGTATAGGTGAGTCGACTCGTTGCTAAGAAGGGACACATTTAATCGCCAATGTGGCTTAGCCATGCTGACAGTTAAGTTAGAAAGCATTAACATTACCGGGTCATGGTCCAACCACAATTTTCAATTTAGACAACATTTTCAATTCTCAATTTAGACAACATCTCCGTATGGAGAAAAATGTGGTAAATAAGCGAATAGCGATTATGAGCTCTAGAAAAAGGGAGTAGTCTCTAGAGGTGGGGTTGGCCTCCCTCCACACGTCTGTCAAGTTATAACGATAAAAAAGTTGTGCAAATGCACATCTTTGTTTCGAAGGGGCTCTATGTTTAGTAGTAGAGATGAGCGAATCGAACTAGGCGAAGTGGAATTCGTTTCGAATATTAGGAAAAATTTGATTCGCATCGAATCCGAATTTTAGCAAACTTCGGATGCACGAATCAAATTTTCCCCGATCAGCCGGCAAAAGTGTCACCGCAGAGAGCTCCGCTATTTCTGACAGTTCTCTGACAGTTCTGACAGTTCATTTACAGCGGTTGAAACATTGTATCTATTTGTTTCCATTTAGGATACAGGTGGTTTTATTCGGAAATAAATAGATACAATGTTTCAAACCGCTGTAAATGAACTGTCAGAACTGTCAGAGAACTGTCAGAAATAGCGGAGCTCTCTGCAGATACACTTTTTGCTGTACTAGAATTCTTCTTCTTTTCATTCTTCTTCTTCTTTTCATTCTTCTTCTTCTTCTTTTCATTCTTCTTTTCATTCTTCTTCTTCTTCTTTTCATTCTTCTTCTTCTTCATTTCATTCTTCTTTTCATTCTTCTTCTTCTTCTTTTCATTCTTCTTCTTCTTCTTTTCATTCTTCTTCTTCTTATCATTCTTCTTTTCATTCTTCTTCTTCTTCTTTTCATTCTTCTTCTTCTTCTTTTCATTCTTCTTTTCATTCTTCTTCTTCTTCTTTTCATTCTTCTTTTCATTCTTCTCATTCTTCTTTTAATTCTTCTTTTCATTCTTCTTCTCATTCTTCTTTTCATTCTTCTTCTTCTTCTTTTCATTCTTCTTCTTCTTTTCATTCTTCTTCTTCTTCTTTCTTTTCATTCTTCTTTTCATTCTTCTTCTTCTTCTTTTCATTATTCTTCTTCTTCTTTTCATTCTTCTTCTTCTTCTTTTCATTCTTCTCTTCATTCTTCTTCTTCTTCTTTTCATTCTTCTTCTTCTTCTATTCATTCTTCTTCTTCTTCTTTTCATTCTTCTTTTCATTCTTCTTCTTCTTCTTTTCATTCTTCTTCTTCTTCTTTTCATTCTTCTTTTCATTCTTCTTCTTCTTCTTCTTTTCATTCTTCTTTTCATTCTTCTTCTTCTTCTTTTCATTCTTCTTCTTTTCTTTTCTTCTTTTCATTCTTCTTCTTCTTCTTTTCATTCTTCTTCTTCTTTTCATTCTTCTTTTCATTCTTCTTTTTTTCATTCTTCTTCTTCTTCTTTTCATTCTTCGTTTCATTCTTCTTCTTCTTTTCATTCTTCTTCTTTTCATTCTTCTTTTCATTCTTCTCATTCTTCTTTTAATTCTTCTTTTCATTCTTCTTCTCATTCTTCTTTTCATTCTTCTTCTTCTTCTTTTCATTCTTCTTCTTCTTCTTTGCATTCTTCTTATTCTTTTCATTCTTCTTCTTCTTCTTCTTCTTTTCATTCTTCTTCTTCTTCTTTTTCATTCTTCTTCTTCTTTTCATTCTTCTTTTCATTCTTCTTCTTATTCTTTTCATTCTTCTTCTTCTTCTTTTCATTCTTCTTTTCATTCTTCTTCTTCTTCTTTTCATTCATTCTTCTTCTTCTTTTCATTCTTCTTTTCATTCTTCTTCTTCTTCTTTTCATTCTTCTTTTCATTCTTCTCATTCTTCTTTTCATTCTTCTTTTCATTCTTCTTCTTCTTTTCATTCTTCTTCTTCTTTTCATTCTTCTTCTTTTTCTTTTCATTCTTCTTTTCATTCTTCTTCTTCTTCTTTTCATTCTTCTTCTTCTTCTTTTCATTCTTCTTTTCATTCTTCTTCTTCTTCTTTTCATTCTTCTTCTTCTTCTTTTCATTCTTCTTTTCATTCTTCTCCTTCTTCTTTTCATTCTTCTTCTTCTTCTTTTCATTCTTCTTCTTTTCATTCTTCTTCTTCTTCTTCGTCGTGCCCCGTGACTGCCCAAATGAGTGAAGTGTGCGGTGATTCTAAGATCGACGGCACTCATCTGCATGTCATACTGACTGACAGTATTATTTCTCTTCCCCAGCAGACTCCAAGGGCATTTAAATTAAAGGTACAGTGTTCTGCACTTATATAAAGGCTCTCTGAAGCCTAGAAACCCTTTAAATAAGTTAAATTCGCGGCGAATAAATTCGCATCAAATCGAATTTCTCCCGCAAATTCGGCGAATCAGCCGAATTGAATTTTTGAATAATTCGCTCATCTCTATTTAGTAGCATATGATTTATCAAGCGTGTGATCCAGGGCCAAATTCGAGTTCCCCTCCAAAAGTATATCACCTTCCAATTCCGGGTATAAAGTTTGAAACAAGGATCGGAAAAATGCTAATTGGTACATGTTGGGGGCATAGTAAATTAGAAAAGTCACCAAAAATCCCCCCAGATGACCTTTAACTAATAAATATTGCCCTTCCTTCACTTTAGATTCGATAAAATGTAACCCTCATGATAGACAGAGCATTACCCCTTGTTTTTTTTCAGATGCTTTAGCGAAAAAACATACAGAGAAATCCTTATGGATATCTCTAGGCATAAAAGAGGAAGCAAAATGGGTTTTCCTGCAACACCACTGTATCAGCTCCTAAGGACTTATAACGAGCGAACATCTTGAGACGTTTAGAGGGGTAACCCAGGCCTTGCATATTGTGAGAAAGAAGACGAACCACACTATCGGTAGGTCTCGGTGTAGACGTGAAAACAAAGGCAGAGCAGCGATGACATGACCCATATATCCACTAATATGGATATCTGGAATGCTGATCCAAATAGAAGAGCTCAAAGTGACCCTCACATAGAAATCGTGAGAAAAGGCGGGAAAAAGAAGAAAAAAAGAGGGAAGAAACAAAAGATGCTGAGCCCAAAAATAGGCCAGCATCCACCTAAATAGATAATGAACAATATACAACATAAAACAACTGAAATGCAAGCATACTAGACAAAAGTCTAGGAATGGAAGGGTCTCCACCAAAGCAAAGCAATGGGGAGAGTCTTTCCAGTAGAGAGACTGCATAGACTCTTTGCTGCACCATGGGGGTCTATGAAAAAAGCAAAATCATCAGAAAATTTCCTGAAGCCAAAAGCTAGAATATCTAGCACAAAAAAGGACCAACCCAAAAGAGTTAGAAACCAATACAGTGCATAATTAAAGTACCAATAATACAAAAACAACAACAAAGGCGGAGGCCAATGTCCCCAGACAGGACCACAGAGATGTCCAACAAAAAAAAATTGTGTGATAACTTGCAAGGTCCTCAGGACTTGGAACACCAAGCAGCAGATTTTTTTTTTCCTGGGAGATGGAGACCATAAAGGGGAGAGTGGAGGAGGAGGGCCGTCAGCCCAGGGAGGATCCCGTGATGGGGCGCTAAGGGAAATAAAGCACAAATTTTAACAAGATTTTCTCTCCTTCAGAAAACACATAGTATTTGCCATTGTAGATAAATTGCAGCAGAATGGAGAGTTCCATCTATATCGGAAGTCTCTCTGAATCAAAGGTGAGAGTAACGGTTTGAACACCCTCTGTTTTTGGATGGTAGCTTGCGAAATGTCAGCAAAGACTAGAATTTTATATCCATCGATTTCCAAGGCGGGATGTTCTCTGGTATAGCGCATCACCACTTCCTTAATTCTGAAGAAGTGAGGTTTGACGATCACATCTCGAAGGGGTCCATCAGGCTTTAAGGGGATCAAAGCTCTATAGATGCAATCAATCTCCATGTGAATTTCGTCAGTATCCGGAACCACTAACAATATGAGGGAGTGGGCAAAACCAGCTATAATCCTGGTAGAATTCTGTGACACTCTGTGTATGGTATCATCAACTTTATTTTCAATATTCTCCAGGTGATTGCCAAGCTCCCTAAAATCCTGCCTGAGGTCAGAGGTTAATTTAGTGGTAGCTTTTTCTAATTCCCTCTGCAGCAAATCAGCAAAACAAGCAATGAGAACAGAGTCCCCCGAGTAGTGCTGGGGCACATCCAGAGGAGCAGGGGATGAAACTAGACTATCAGGAGCAGAATCTTGACCACTGAGCTGACTATAAAATATCTCCGCCATCTCCCTATCAAGCAGGAAGGAAGAATGTGACTCCTGGCCTGGTGACAGGGCTGCAGCCTGAGGGGGAGACCAGAGGAAGCAGAGAGAACACTCACATGAGCCTGGGAGCCTGTCATCACGAGATCCAGGGCTGGATGGGGAGAGCTGGACCCGACTAATGCAGAGGCAGTTCCCCCCATCTTGCCCCCTCCTCCTTTCTTCAAGGCAGCAGTGCGGCAGCTGCTCACAGATCATCCAGGTTGGCCAGGTGGACATCAGAGGTATCAGAGGTTCCCTCCTACTCCTCCAGCTGATCGGGTGGTTAGCCGGGTAAAACTGGGTCAGCCCCTAAAGCGCCAGGAAGTGCAGAGCGGTATTCACAGCATCCGCTCCAGCCGCCCGTCCATGCAATCCCCTCGGGGAGCAGCAATTTAAATAATGATCAAAGCAAAACTCCGGGCAAAAACTTCTTTACATGTCCTTGTTGCTGATTTCCAACCTTCACTGAATATGTCATCCATCTTCTGGTTCACTCAGTATGCTTAGAAATAGCCTATTCATTTTCAAATGGAAACCGTATGTACTCTGCAACGCCTCAGGAAATGCACAGCCAAAGGGAAGCCAAGGGAACCAGGACAACCAAAGGAGATGCTTCAGGGGTACAGCCCACCTCGGACGGGGAGATCAGCCACTAGATAAAGAATAAACAGGTGACGCCACCTTTCAAATGGAAACCGTTAATTCTCTTTGGTTTCCTGTTAGTAAGACCAGTGTCTGCTATATCTCCTATTCCCCTAGCCACTGTTCTTGGCACATCCCTTCTGTAGTTCTTTCTCCATGAAACAGTGATGACATTCAGCCCCACCTGCACCTGCAGTATTGGGTGGACCAAGACTCTCAGACATATTCCACATGTACAGGCTTAGTGTACCCGCCCACATTCACTACAATTCCCTGTGGTTGATGGGAACTGTAGTTTCCTTTAGCTGCAGAGAGAGAGGAGGATATGATGTAATTCCTGCTGTTACACCTCCTCCTTGGCAGAATTTATGCTGTTATCTTTTAAATTACAGAGATGTGGTCATGAAAACTAATTTTTTTTCCTAAATTCAGACTTTTCTCCTAAATGGTAGGGATTTTCAAAATTGTATTAACTGTTTAGTGTTTTGTGTAGGGGGGGGTGTACTAATGAGTGATTTTTTTTAGCTTATCCTTGAGTTCTTCTTTAAGGAATCCAACATTCCTTTAAATAACATGCCTAGGGGATGCCCTTAATCTACCTGTGAAGTAGCGCATCTGTACAATGTCTGCAACCTACTGTATCAAAACTGACATTTACAAACAAAAAAAAATTATATTCTTACTTGGCAGCAAATGACAACTCCCTGACACTTTACCTTATGTTTCTATACAATGCTAGAGATTTCCTTCATCCAGGGGCAGACTGACCATATGGAAACTCGGGCACTGCCTGAGGGCCCGGGGTCAGTAGGGGGCCCCATGAGATGCCCCTGGTACCTTTTTCATAGGCTTTTTTGAGTTTGGCAAAGGACACATGGGCCCCATGATCCCCTATTGCCCGGGGGCCCCATGAGTTGTCAGTCCGCCCCTGCCTTCATCTATACGTGACCCTTAGCCTAGAACAAGAAAAAAACTTGGAGTACCCCCTAAACTCCATCCAGATCCTTATCTGAGTACTGTATAAAGCCTAGCTAGCCAGGAAAGGGGGATGCTAAATGCATGTCCCCTTCATGAATCACACACAGGAATCAAAGCACCTTCTCCCCTTGTTCAGGAGGACAAAGGCCTCATCTACCTTACAATGACCTGGTGGTTATGGGAGTTTGAGGGTGGGGGGCTTATCAGAATCTGAATGTCCCTTTGAACAATAGGTGGGCCCCCAAATACTGCCCCATGTGAATGAGTAAATTGCATCCCTACTCATTCAAAATAATGTTCCATGATGTAAATGCATCAACAATCACGGTGCCCAGTAACCCACAGCCACAATAATGATGAATAAATTCCACCTACTAATTAAAAAAATCCATTCCATTTCACTTACTCACAAATTACATCTTCCAAACCCTGCCACTAAAAGTAAACAAAGGGGTGGGGTCTCCCAGGTCATGTCATTGACGAAATATGGAATCGACCATCTTTGCATCTTCATTGCTGGAAGACGTGTATTACAATGGCATGTGCCATGGTATAGCTCAGGAGGGAGGCTGCACATTACCCCCACCCCCACCTCATATCCTGGCCAGCTAAGTTACATGATTAGGATTTGGTGTGGATTTTGGGAGGGCTCCAGATTTCTTTTACTGTTTTTTTTAACTGGGTTCACCAGTTAAAATTCATACCAGACCTAAGCCCTGGTGCACCTATAGGTGCATCCATGCAGGCCGCAATTTGCGTGGGCACGATAGCTTGTTCATTTGAATGGACCCCCATGCCCACGCAAGGAAGAGGTCCCTGCACATCTTCAGAAATTGCAGCCCACACAGGAACCAAGGTTCCCAGTACGTTTGCAATTTCCAGTGCGGGTGGCGTGTGCCATTAGAATTAATGGTACCTGACAACGGGTCCTGCATTCCTTTGTGTGGGTGGTGCAGGTATTTGTGTGAGTCCCGCAGCAGCACCACCCACACAGATGTGAGCCAAGCCTAAAGGTCTGGTCTGACAAATGAATGGGCCAGACAAGGAATAGGTATAGTTGTTAGGGATGCAAATGGCCTTTCATGAGCAAATCTTGCAATCAGTTCTTAAACCAATAGTGTATGCTACATTCCAGACAATTCACCATCCCCTGATCACTTTTCCATGAACATGCTGTTGTGGCAAATCTTGACGTTTTAGATGCTTCCTGGGGGACTGGAGGGCTCAGAATTTAACCCAAGCCACTCATGTTGTGTCATGCAGAAAGTACCAAGAAATACATGTATGACATTTACACTATACCTATGCACTCAAAAAGTCCAACAGTATTCTGTTCTTTTCAATTTTCTTCTCCTTTAAATATGTTTTCAATTCCATGATAAAGCAAGGTGTTCGTCACTTCTAACAAAGTTGAGGTCTGAATAGAAAACTCATTTCCAGTTAATGCCGCCAACAGCTGCGGCTCTTTGAATAGATTCATTTGTTGTTTATCTCCCCGGGACAAAAAAAGAAATGACAGTGAAAGATTAGAGAGTAAGATCTGCAATAATAAATTGCTAGAAAAAATATGATCTGTCTTTGATCACATTTTTTTTATTTTTTTGCATGTGATTTCATTGTTATATTGGCTGTTACAGAGTGTTCCACTGAACCTATAAAAAAGGAAAAATGGCTGCAACTTGCTGTTGTTTTTCACAGAACTAATAAATAGTGTGTTGGGGGGGGTCATGATTAGCATGGGGGCACCAGCATGCTATGGCCCTTTTTAATAATTCTTAGTGTTTACATGATGATACCATGTAATGTGTGAGTTAGCATCCTGTCATGGATGAAGGCCAACCTATTACATCGCACCCCACACCAGAAGGATTGTGTCCTTTTTCACACAAGTGACACCTGTCCCGGTACTGAGTATGAAGCAGGGGCAGACTGACCATTTGGAAACTCGGGCACTGCCCGAGGGCCCGGGATCAGAAGGGGGCCCCATGAGAGGCCCCTGGTACCTTTTTCATAGGCTTTTTTGAGTTTGGGCAAGGACACAGGGGCCCCATGATCCCCTATTGCCCGGGGGCCCCATGAGTTGTCAGTCCGCCCCTGGTATGAAGCTCTTTTGAGGGAGATAGCATAGAACACCGATCTTCCTCCACCAATTCTTCAACACATATTACACTTTACATTTTACTCTTTCAATCCAAAGGCGTGGAGGGAAACTGCTGAATATTTCACAAGGCCATGTACGCTCGTGGTCCAGGTCCATTCCTTAGGAGAGTTCCATTACACAGTAGGCCCTGACTATGGGTCCCTGCTGCTAAAAGGGTAGAGACTAACTTTATTGAACGTAAATGAGAATTATACAATAGAGCTGGGCGGGAGAATGAGACTGTTCGAGTTTTTAATGGGGCAAAGGTGTCAAGTGAAGATGAAGGTGCCTGATTAAGGGCATCTATTTTGCCCTTAACCACCAATCTACCCCTCCATAAGAACTTCTGTCACTGGCCACTACCACCTGTTTTCCCGAACTCCTTCTTTTATCTGACTCTCTCATCATTACTCAGATAGTTAAAATACAAGCGTACACTTCATTCCCCTTTCCCATACACTGCAGGATTTCACTCATCGTACATTCCCAGGAATTAGAGTAGGTGATTCCAGCAATTCCTTTTTACTGAGGCAGGGGCATGGCCATTTTCTTTTGTCTTCATACAGTTAATTTCATCAGGAACATATCAGCACAACAATTCATCCAGTGAACAATGTTCCTCAGTTTTTAATAAAATTCTATGGCAACAACTTTAGGGCAATGCTGTGGTGGTTCATACCCTTCCACTTGTGTTCCCACCAAATAGTGGTTTGTTGGCAATACCGCTTCGGGGTCCCACCAAGGAGTGACCTACTTCAGTACAACACTACATCTCTCCAAGTATGGTCCTTCTATTTTCCATGACCAATCTTCCAAAAGAGAGCCCAAGAGACTCATCCCTTATGCTTAAATACCCTAGCTACAGTAACCTTAACAGGCCAAATGACAGACACACCACAGCGGGTAATCCCCAACTATATCAGCAGCATTCACAAATACAGTGCAACTGGCACCTGCCTACAAGTGAAACCTGAAGGATTCCATTTGAGCAATGCTTAACCATGGCACCGGGGCACATGCCCCAGGTCTACTACTAAGTATGCTAGGAAAGTTGAGCCTCTCCCTCTCTAATCCTCTGGGACCAGAGGCAAACTCCCAATGATCATGGATTGCTCTATATATAACATTCCAGTCTTCAAAAAAGAGGAAGGATGTGGCTGACCTTTTAAAACCAAGTATTAAGGTTTATTGAAGAAACCATTGCAAAGACTCATCCAGCTGATAGTGCCACCCTAAAGGTTCTTACACATGCACGGTGGAGTGCGGTACCCTTAAAGATCCATATTCAGAGGTCTTTTCAGACAGCAAGGGGTTTATTTACTAAAGCTGGAGAGTCCAAAATCAGACTCCCTTCTGCATAGAAACCAATCAGCTTCCAGGTTTCATCGCCAAAGCTTTATTGAACAAGCTGAGGTTAGAAGCTGATTGGTTTCTATGCAGAAGGGAGTCTGATTTTGGACTCTCCAGCTTTAGTAAATAAACCCCCATTTGTCAAGTGGTGAGGAGGTGTTATGTCGCCTCCTCACCACCCGATTTAACCGTATAATGTTGCACTACCACTAGTGATGGTCCGAATACCCAGTTTGGGGTCAAACATTTGAACCTAACGAAAGTTCAACCGTGAACTTAGAATCCAGGGGAAAATTCACTAAGTAGTATCTTACCACATCTGAGTATGCGATAAGATACTGCCTAGCATTTTTCCAAAGAAACTATGGCATTCACTAAAAAACAATACTAAAATACCATATGAGTTATTTTATTAAGTCATTCTGTATTTTAGTAGTAAAAACCATGCAGTAATGTATCAACTGTCAGTGGGTTTCCCTGCTGACAGCTAAATTTAAAAAAAAGAATTTCTGGCAATTAAAAAATAAGCAAAAAAGGCGCCAGGTCCCCCCCATCTTTACCAAGCCCTTCAGGTCTGGTATGGGTTTTGAGAGGAACCCCCATGCCAAAATTTTGGTGTGGGGTCTCCCCAAAATCCATACTAGACCCTTATCTGAGTATGCAGCCCGGCAGGTCAGGAAAAGGGGGGGAACGAGCTAGCTCCCCCCCTCGTGAATCATACCAGGCCTCATGCCCTCAACATGGGGGAGGTGCTTTGATGCAGGGGGCAAGGACCTCTTCCCCACAACCATGGCTAGTGGTTGTGGGGGTCTCTGGACGGGGCTTATTGGAATCTGGAAGCCCCGTTTAGCAAGGGGGCCCCCAGATCCCAGCCAAATACACGAATGGCCGATGTTCGAGACAAACTTACGTTAGACTTGAAAATCAATCCTATCAGTAACTAACACATTGCAAAGCTGTGCCACTTGTAAAACTGCACCCCAAATTAAAAATATTGTGCCATGAAGGAAAGCATCTTGACTTGGGCATGTGACCATGGCCATGAAGCAAAGCATTGTAACTGCAGCATTTAATGAGCCTAATCAGGCTGTTATTTTACATTTTGCGTGGGCAACCATTTGCAGTAAAGCCATGGCTCAGCCACCCATTTTCACCACTCCCACATGAGGCTTACTCTTCTACTAAGTACCCAAATCTAGCTTGCAATAATTGTGTTTGTGATCTCAACTATTACATTTTTCAGTCCTACATGAACTTTGGTTATGTGTTCTTGTACAACTATTTTCACAACTTTAGTATTTGCAATTTTTTTCTTGACCATTCTAAAAAAATGTATCAGGTAGATTATTTAGTAGATAGGATAATCAAACATAGATGTTCATTTTTTTTTTGTTAAATTATCAAATTTTTATATTACCCTGTACTTCACAGTGCATATATTCTTTTCACTTAATTTGACTCTAAGCAATAACCTTATTCTTCAAAAACAATCCATACACATCCACTATTAATGGCCCTGTAATCAATTTTTCATGAAAGTCTTTCCTACTGTTTTTTTCTGTCTCCTTGTAATGTCCTCCATGAGTGCCCAAACTTCAAATCACCCTCCACTTTCATTTGTTTGGAACGAATAGTGCACTTTATTTGCTGTCACGTACTCTGTTCTATGCACACTACAAATCCCATAGCCCATAGTACATCTCAGGAGCAAACAAGAGAGGGTGACTACATTCCTACACATAGCAGGGTTATGGAGAATGAACATAGCCACCCTCTAACAGGAAGGGTTTTAAAATATAAGGATGACCAGTGTATAGTTGAGAAGAGTGAGGAAGTGCCAGAAAAGACAGAGAGGCTGAAGATGTGAGTTATCAAGTATAAAATATAATACAAGGGTGTCTGTAGTAGCTGTGAGAAAACTGGGTCCAGAGGGAAAGTGCTTAGATGGGCCACAGAAAGAAAATTACTATCTTCCTTGGAGGTAACAGAGTCAAAAAACTAAAAAAAATGTGATGGTAGACCTTGTGGGTTAGTTGTGGGGGATAGCTGGACAGGGAAAACCCCATCCCAAACTGTATTGATATTGCTTTTCCTAAGGAATTATCGAGAATAGTGCAGGTAGGGAAACGGCTGAGCTACAATATAATCACGTGCATGGGCTGTGGGCATATAGGATTATACTAAAAAAGTCCATAGGTCCAAAAATATCAGTGGCAGCTCCTCAATGATATTGAAGGGATCTCTGTAATATATAAAGGAAACAGCAAAGGGATCCAACTAAGTGCAGTATATAGGAAAAGACTTAACACGTGGCAACTCACAAGGTGCATAAGGATAAGAGCATTTCATCCACCCAGTGCAGTTAGCTACTGAGCCTCAATGTGTCTTCGGAAGCCAGGAAGCAGATGCCTCCATCAGGAGCTGTAGGACACCATAAACAAAACCAGAAATCCTAGAGCCACCCTGGAGTACATGGACTGCACAAGACTGGAAGTGTCCTTCCACCTGAGAGGGCCACAACATGGGGAGTGTAACTGCTCCTTTTTCAAGCCTTTTTTATATTGCTTTTGAAATTATTGGTAATTTCATGGTAGGAACGAGCCAACAATTCAGTCCAAACCTAAGTTCAGACTGAACTTTGGCTGCTTGGGAGTTCGGATGACTGCCTGAACTTTTGTCTGTTCAAACCCCTGTTCAGCAGGAGACCATCATATATCCACATGAAGACCAAGCTTTTTTTGGCACTTTTTACTTACATGTAACAATCAATATTTTTTGCTCGAAAATGTCCTAGAATCTCCAAACATTACATCACTTTTTAAAAGCAGAGGCCCTAGTGAATACATTGGTGGGTTTTGACATTTTTTATGTTACACAGTATTTGTGCAGCATTTTTTCAAACACAATTTTTTGCAAAAAAATATACTTTTTTGCAGTTGAATGTAAATAAAAGGCAATACATAAATCAGTTTTTTTTGTAAAATATAAAAGATGATGTTACACTGAGTAAATAGATACCAAACATGTGACGCTTTGCGTACGCCTGTGCAACAGCGTCAAACAATGTAAATTTTACTATCCATAGGCGACAGAAACAATTGAGTACTGTCCGTGATACTTTTTTTTATTTGCACTAACATACAATTTTGAGGACCAAGCTTTCGGGGTATGTCCCCTTCTTCAAAGTCCAAGCAGTACTATTACAAATCACAAAGTTTAAGCAGAATGTTAGAAGGGATTGAGAAAAAAAAAAAAAAGGCTACAGATAAGATCAAGAGTGAGGGGGGGAGGGGGGATACTACACTCACACAGAGGGGGTCAAGCTTCAGCTAATAGATAGTCATAAAGCTGTAGGATAATGGTTGAGGAATCCCATGTCCAAGTTAAGGCCGTTATCTTTTGTGTCAAATAGAATTATCATTCTTAGTTCAAATGTTTTTCTTTCCTGGATAGATTTGAATTTTCCTTTCAGAACCAAAACATTGGGGTCTTCCATATTGTGGCCTGGTTGTGTGAAATGGTGTCCCACAGGTGTGCAAAGGTCACCTTCTTTATGTTCCTTGATGGTATGTCTGTGCAGATTCATC